AAAAAATAGGAAAATAGAATGAGAGAAGAATAGATGTGCCACTTAGAAAAGAGTTTAATGAGATGTTAGGATTAAGAATTTAGAGTTTTTTAAGATATCACTACATTTGGTTATATATATAGTATAGAATATATTACTTGAGAATAGTTAAGGATGTGAAGTGGATGAGAGAGAGAGAGAGAGTTTCTCTCTGTAACTTCTTCTTCTTCTAGGGTTTGCTTGGGCGTTGCTTGGGGTAGGGAGGGGGGTTCTGGCCTCCTCATTCCTCTTTCTATCCCTTTTTCTTTTTTTTTTTCTTTGTTGTTTTCGGTTTCAATAAGCTTTGAAAGTTTGTCTTCCTATCTTTTCTCTCATTTGTGAGGTTTTCTTCCCTTTTTGGCGGAATCTATATATGAAAATGTTGATGTTTGGCGTTGTCATCCAACGAAGGCCATTTCGATTCTGACACGGACTAAGTTTGTGGGTTTACCAGAGGTAAGAGAATATGCAGATTTTGTAGGATAAAAGATTTAGAGTGTTTTATAAAAAAAATGAAAGAAGTAATGAGCAGCTAGTATCGGACTCCTCTTGCGTACCGCCGGTCAAGGACACCGGCGACCAGTGGATATAAGCGTCATTACCGTGGCCGTGTACCTTTTAAGGCGGCGTACATTCGCAGATGGTATGTTCAGAATATTCCCCGATATATTAAGAAGACTAAGAGAGGAGTAAGAAAGTTACAACTGTACGATGAGCAATCAAGAGACGTTAAATTTGATAATAAAGGTGTGGCGAGATTGTTTAACGATATTGAGTTGGGTAATAAGAGATGTGACCGTCAATCAGACAAGATCGTGGTTAAAGGTATAAAATTAGTCGGGAATGTTCAATTGGGACAAGATGCTAAAGACGAAGCTGTGATCCACCACATATTGTTTTTCGTCATAAGTGATACTAGTCCGTCAGATTCCGTTCCCACACCTGATAAGATATTTATTGGAGTTGGCGAGGGTAATCTTGAGACTTGGATTGTTGATCCTGACCAATTTGCCTAGTTTCGGATGCTAATGAAAATGAGATTCAAGCTTGTTGGTGGCAAGGATAAAGAGTACGTTTGTCACAGGATAGAAGTTGTGGACTGGTTCTTCCCAGTTGATGTCTGGACGGACTATAAAGATACACTGTTGGGAAGTATTCAGAAGGGTGCCATATATTTAGTGGCTGTTACTGTTAGTGGAAAAGAATGTGAAATTACGTTAAGGAGTCAAATGTACTTTAAGACTGTTTAGAATTATAATTTATGAATTTTTATTTGTAATGTTCAGGTTTTGAATGGAGGTGGACGATATAAAAACTGGTGTTGTTGACGGTGTTTCAGTAAGTGATTTCAGTTGTATTGAACTTGATTTGCCTAATTTATTTTCTCAGTTGAGGTTAAGACATAAACAAAAGAGTATTAAGGTTGATAAAATATTGATAAAATATTACCCCCTTTGTTCACCCAATGCCAGTGGGTTGGTCAGAGTAAATGTGTATGATCAGAGGTTAGATGGTAATGATAGTCTATAGGCATGGTTTTTTTTCCCTATGGATTGTTAATGCGAGTTAGTCTATTATAGGAATGGTTATGGTTGAATTAACGACAAACAGGTGCCATGGATGGTGAAGTATCGACTTGAAAATTCAAATATTAAAAGGGGGCTTATGTATTGTAAAATAATGGGGTATATGAAGTATTCTACGAGTGACATGCCAGAAGATTCACAAATGAGGGCCCCATCTATTGTTGTGTTATCTAAAAAATATACTAACGCAAATGTTGATGTCTGGCATTGTCCTCCAAAGAAGGCCATTCTGATTCTGACACAGACTAAGTTTGTTGGTTTACTGAAGAGTCGAAGAGTTTTGTTGTTAGGAGGTTTTGGGGAAAGTGGTTCAGTTATTCATGAACGCAGAGGTCATCTGAGATTGATGTACACAGAGGTGGTGATGGCACTAGTGATGTTGATCTTGGTCCGTCGATTTTGGAGGTTGGTGTTAGCAAATAGGAAGTTGATCGTAGAGGATTAGTTGTTATGGACCCTGCAAAATTTTCTAATGTTTTACGAAATGTAATCATTAGTGTAAAAAATAGTGATGTGACTCAAGATGTAATAGTTGATGATAAGGGAAATGTAGTAAGTAAATAAAAATTTTAGTGGTTTCATAAATAAAATTAATAAAATTTTTCATTAATCATGACAGTGGCTACATTAACATCAAACCATTCTCTCATTTTTTGAGACATTGCATCTAATCAACTACTGTCCTCATTAGTTAATATAATACATGGAATTCCTTCTCTAATAGTGAGATACGGTTGGAATTTAACAAGTACATGGAAGTCTCTCTAGCAACCTACTAAATTCTTCATTAATTTGGTAAGGACTGTCGAGTATTTGATGTCATTTATGATGTTGTAAACGACTTCTTGATCTTAGTTCTTGAAGCTTATTTTGCCAGAGAAGTAATTATGTCGTCCGAGACTTCTGGCCCAGGTGGTTTTGCCTATTCTTAAGGGTCTTTCGAGGTAGAGGGAGATTCGGTAGATGGGCCGCTGTTCTGGATCCTGTTATTAGAGGAGGAGGAAAGTTCTTCGTCAGTATATAAATCATGTATATTATTCCTGTATATCCCTAATCTAATGTTGTCGTCTTTATTGTAAACAGAGAAACAACAATTTTGACATAGTTCGTATTTTACAAAATTCTGACTTACAAACAAAATATTATTTTCTGCCCATTTTTTTACTTCTTCATTTAAAAAAAGAAATGAATTAAAGAGGCTAGTATATGGGGGCCTCTCTCATTTGCTGTGATCCCTCGAAAATATTTTTAATTAGGGATATTTTGTGACGTAATCGGTGGGACATCTTTCTTTGTAGAGTGCAAGGAATTGTTCCTTCGTTTTTGCTTCTGCAAGTATTCCCCACCAGAGTTCATCTCTGTTCTTTGAAGGACTTTTCTCCTTAGATGAAAATTCTCCTCATTCTACGAAGTCGCCCTCTTTCTATATATACTGTCGACTTACTGTTGGAGAATGGAGTTTTTCTATATTTGGATGATATATTCTGTCGTTGGTTTTGGTGAGATTGAAAAATCTCGGGTTGGAGGTTTGGATCTTCTTTGTTCATTGAACCATGGCATGAAGGTGAGGGTTTCCATCTTCGTGAAGCTTCCTTGCGACAAGTAGGTAGTATGGCTGACAAGCTAGTTGGAGTAGGGATTGGAGGAGTTCTAAGAGTTGTTCGTTTGGGCATGGACATCGTGGGTAGGTGAGGAAAACATTCTTGGCATAGAAACAGAAAAAGGCTTGACGAGGTATTTTGTAGAGATAAATAGTGAACTTACACCAGCCATACAAGGCCTCCCTATTAGTTAAAAAACTCGGTGTGAATGGTGTGACTGGGGGGGCGCTGTATTAATATTACCAGTGCCCCCCCTCTTGTTGATCTGGGCCGTCTATTATTGTACTTATGGACACGTGCATGGATGGGGTTAAAAGGAAGTCACACCCGGGCTCAAGTGTGAGTGCTGTGAGTACTTTTGATTTCTTTGCCAGATAGTGTTATACATGTGTCACTTTTCTGATGGTTTGCGTGATTGTAAAGTAAATATTCTTATAGAATGATAGACATAAAGCAAAGGCGGGAAAATAAATGTGTTTGAATTATGGCCTTTATTGGATATCCCATCTCCCACTCTTTCGCCTCACACCAGTGCTGCCAACGCCACATTGCCACCACTTACCAAATCAATTGCCTCCACGAACCCACAGCCACCAGATTTGCCACTACTTACCAGATCGACAGCCTCCTTGAACCTATATCAACTAGATCTATCGGTACTGTTACGTTTTCTCCACTGCCATGATTAGGGATTGAGATTTGGTTTTTCTTTTGTTTCTCTTGTTTTTGTTTGGTGTTTGGTAGTGTGATGACTCCATCGGTGCTTGATTGTAGCTTGTCCTTTCTGTGATTGAAATCTATGCTTTTATGTCAAGCTTGCTCTATTGTCAAACTCTTATATTCGGCGTTTGCTTCGCAGTGTGAGCTTTACGTCTAGATATTTTCATAGTTTTTCTTCTAGGTGTGTTTGTTTGTTGATTTTTACTTTGTATGGTTTCATTTTGTTGGATTGGCTAATCTTAATGAAAATTTCTCATGTTCAAAAAATAAAAAATAAAAATATCATTACTCAAATAATAAAAAATGAAAAGTAAGTGTCCAAATTTTAGGTGAGAGATAAAATGATACGGATAATAATTAAAAGAGAGTAATGACGTACAATTAGAAAATTTATACAAAAAATTTATATGGAATGAGATAGCATAAGTGTGTCAATTTATTTTAAATTAAAAAACCCATTAAAGTGAGTGACTTACAATTTTAAAAATATCACTGTCATTTAAGTATTGTGGACGAGGTAAGAAATGCAATTATATACAACATTACTCTATTCCTCAAAAAAAAAAAAAAAGAAAAAAAAAAAAAAAAAAAAGCTCTATATTTATTATTATTTTTTATTTGCAAATAATTTTTGAAAGAGTAAAGTCTATTTTTTTTTTTATTATTATCAAGAAATACCCTAAGTAAGCGAATCTCAAATAATCTCTAATTAATTTGCCCTAATTGTAACTTATGTACTAATTGTGAAGGAAGGTCCTTGTAATTTGACCAAAGAAAAAAAGGTTTTGAATTGGTTCGATTTTGAATTTATAATTTTATTTTAAGTTAATCTATTTAATTAACAACTCTTAATTCTTTTTATAAAAAATACAGATATAAGTGTCTCGTGTTATATTTTTAAAGATAAAATTATAAATTTATTCAATTCAGTTAGTTAATTTTCAATAAATTTAGTGATAATTTTTTTTTAAAAAAATACTAATAATATTATTAATTAGACTAAATTAAAATAAAATTTTAAATTAATGGTTAAAATTGATAATTTTCTATAAAAAAAGAAAAAGAAAAGAAAAAGACAGAAAAAAAAAGAAGGGGTTCCCTGTTTTGTCCCCTGGGTTATCTTCTCTCCTTGTCCACCGACTCGAACTCATCGCTGGCACTCAAAAGCTCTCATCCAGTCACAACTTCCTCCTCTGCCTACTCAACGATCACTTCTCTCTTCGACACTGACCACCACAACCACTCCTCTTTCAATTTCTCCGATCAGCTCACAAGGTTAGGGTTCTCAGTTTAATTTATTGTTTTTTTCTTAATGCATTTGATTTTTTTGTTATCTCCTTGTCTCGGAACGAATCTGGGAACTTTAATTATGATGAATTTGAGTTCTATACTAGCGGTGTAAAAGTTTGGGGTGTAATATATAAGCTCACTTTTATCTTTTGTCTTTTTTATTCACATTCTCTCTTTATTTTTCTGCGCATTTTTAAAAAAAAAAATCAAAAAGTACACTTATTTAGATTATCTCAAACAACCGGGGCGTTATTTGATTAACATGATGAACAGTGAAAGAATTAATAATTTCGTGAATAAGTATAGGATTAGTTATTAACCATTTATTATGTATTTATTTATTTTTTCTTTCAAATTTGAAATAATGATCTCATCTCTTCTTAAAATTAAAAATTCGCCAATTTTATCTGATTGAATATCCGCGGTACATGTAATCTGGTTAATAAAATTAGTAACCAAACATGGAATTGTGAGTCCATGGCAAGGTTCTAAAAAGCGGTTGCCGTCACCGTAACGGTGGCGGTGACGCGGTTGTGGTTGCGGGATGTAAAGGCCGTAGTGTAACGGTTGCAGTAACCGGAACCGTGAATTTTTTTGTTTTTCGCACAATTTGAAAAAAACTTACCGATACGCATATTTTTTTTCTATGATCATATTTATTGGGTTGAAAATAAATATTGATCAATTTTTTTAAATTTTTAAGTATGATGCAATATATTTCATATTTTTAAATCACTATAAACTTAATTTTTTACATTTTATTTTAATAATTAACGACTTTATATTATACAAAAAATCAAACACTAACTATTATATATAAGATAAACAATGACAAAAGTAAGAGAATAAATAAGAGTCTAAATATATATATACATATTTTAACCAAGCCAAATAGATAATGACCACACTTATTATTGTTATTATTTTCAAACAATATATAGATAGACACACACAAACAAAATGGTTTAGTGATAGCAGTTGAATAGAATAGCATAGGTCTTACAGTTTCAACAAATCAATAACATGTTTTTCATCTTCCCTCTTCTCTCTCTCTCTCTTGCTCCTCCATTTTCTCTCTTTATCTTCTCTCTTCTCTCTATCCCTCTTCCCCCATTTTCAACTTTTTTTTGTGTTTTTTCGGAAGAAACAGTTTGGAATCATTACGTAACGGTGTGTAACAGACCGTTACGGCTGTTACGGCACCGTTACGACCGCTATAGCCGACACACTTGTGAATCTCAATCACATTGCAAGAACGGCCGTAACGGGTGGTGGTAACCGCCAAAACCGTTACGCAACGGTTGCGGCCGCTTTTTAAAACCTTGGTCCATGGGCAAACAATGTCAATCTTATGTTATGATTCTACCAATCATACATGCCCATGTATTCATGTTTCAATACATCATAGCACTATTAATTAGCATAACCAACTGTTAGAGTACGAAACATAATTTAATGTTGCCAGCCAATCAAGATAATGGAGTGCGTCAATTTCATTCCGTTCGATGTTACATTCTATGTTACTTGAAATGTGGATCGTTCCGATACGTGGAATGGGAACGGAAACGTGATACGCCGCATGCTTTAAAATGTGGTACGATAGGGGTATACTTGTATATATTGCACTTGAGAATTTGAAGTATTTTTTGAGTAATTTTTTTTAACTATTTATTAGGCATCTAATAAAATGTATTATTACTTTTTTTATTTTTTTATTTATTTTTGATGTTTTTGTCTTGTCAAAATATAACTCACCTTAGATTTTAATTCATTATATTTGATCTTTTTTTTTCGTCCTAAGGTAACATTTAAGGAAATTTATTGAAAAAACTTTTAGGATCGCTTCGGATCACTAAATTTACCGTTTTTGAATGAAAGTGTACCATATTTCAAAACGTGCATACCAATACATAATTTGCTAAGGGATTAGCGTTTTCTGGTAACACACGTTACATTCCTATTCCAACTTGCACTTCATTCTAACTTATTTTATTCTAGTGTGTCAAACAAGGCCTGAGTTCATGTACAAGAAAGAAATGAAAATAAAATAACAGTTACTTTTCTTCAATTTGTTTGGTTTACTAGAAAATTTTAAATAGAAACAAGAATCCAAATTTGTACAAGTTAATGTTGAGCAAATTTTGAGGAAAAATGCAAGTGATTATTATAGCCTTTGTGTTGTATTTTACTACTTTCCTTTTCACATTTGTGGTCATCATCATGTGAGGGAGCGTGCTATTAGTTCAACAAAAAGACTATGAATTTGTAATTTGCGGTACACATAATCTGGTTAATAAAATTAGTAACCAAACATGGAATTGTGAGTCCATGGGCAAACAATGTCAATCTTATGTTATGATTCTACCAATCATACATGCCCATGTATTCATATTTCAATACATCATAGCACTATTAATTAGCATAACCAACTGTTAGAGTACGAAACATAATTTCATGTTGGCAACCAATCAAGATAATGGAGTGCGTCAATTTCATTCCGTTCGATGTTACATTCTATGTTACTTGAAATGTGGATCGTTCCGATACGTGGAATGGGAACGGAAACGTGATACGCCGCATGCTTTAAAATGTGGTACGATAGGGGTATACTTGTATATATTACACTTGGGAATTTGAAGTATTTTTTGAGTAATTTTCTTTTAACTATTTCTTAGGCATCTAATAAAATGTATTATTACTTTATTTATTTATTTATTTATTTTTGATGTTTTTGTCTTGTCAAAATATAACTCACCTTAGATTTTAATTCATTATATTTGATTTTTTTTTTTTCGTCCTAAGGTAACATTTAAGGAAATTTATTGAAAAAACTTTTAGGATCGCTTCGAATCACTAAATTTACCGTTTTTGAATGAAAGTGTACCGTATTTCAAAACGTGCATACCAATACATAATTCGCTAGGGGATTAGCGTTTTCTGGTAACACACGTTACATTCCTATTCCAACTTGCACTCCATTCTAACTTATTTTATTCTAGTGTGTCAAACAGGGCCTGAGTTCATGTACAAGAAAGAAATGAAAAGAAAATAACAGTTACTTTTCTTCAATTTGTTTGGTTTACTAGAAAATTTTAAATAGAAACAAGAATCCAAATTTGTACAAGTTAATGTTGAACAAATTTTGAGGAAAAATGCAAGTGATTATTATGGCCTTTGTGTTGTATTTTACTACTTTCCTTTTCACATTTGTGGTCATCATCATGTGAGGGAGCGTGCTATAAGTTCAACAAAAAGACTATGAATTTGTAATTTTCAAAATATGTTATTCAAATTATAATTACTATAGTGTTGTTGGTACTTTCCAATTGTAGCTTTTGATTTAAAGGTAGGGTCTCCGCACATTGTAGTCTTCAGCATACACTACGAGGCTATGGTCTCTTGGCTTGGAGGCTAAAGATGGAGGTTTCACCATGGTGTTACATTTGCCTGGGTGTTGCTACCTTAGGCTAGTCCTACACTTCTATTGAGAGAGAGATAGAGAGAGAGAGAGAGAGATCTTGCCACTTATACCGCCTCATATAAAAATGTCTAAACAAGCTAACGAACTTCCCTTGAAAATCCAAATGATTTATGCCCATGTGCTCACCTTTTATAAATATAAGGTATTACCATCCTGCATAAGTTAGAACATATGATTTCAGGTTGATTCGGGGGGCATGGAAACTTACATGTTGTAGGCTCGTAGTTTTTTTATTTTTTATTTTTTTTAAAATAAAAGTTTAGTCCGCATATTACTTGATTGCCTCCTTTTGGCATACTAGCTGGCGCAAGTCAGAAGTTCAAATTTTTGGTTTGTTAATTATATAATTATTGGGTAGTTACTACTTACTAGTTAGTATTAGTCATGCTTATGGATCAGTCAAGTTCTAATGTGACAGATTAAAGGACATTACCTAGTCTTCGTCCTTGTTAATTTCCATGTGCTTTGCTTGAATGTGAAATTTCATTATGCCAGATTGATTTTTAATAGTTTATTTTGTGGAATGGAAGGTGAATAGTGCGATGACATGACATTCTATTAAATTGATTTAATTTTTCTGTAATATTCATTTGTAGATAGTACTACTAATCATTCATACGTTTGCACTCTTGACCCATAGTACTCTTCATGAAGTTGAATATCGATTGCTTTATTCTTCATTTTGGTGTTATGTACATTTTTGTTTCTATAACTTTTCACACCTATTTTCAAGAAAGTCACAAATAAGGAAAAAGCGGAACAGAATTATGATACATAATTCAATGCGATTTGTGACACAGAATTGAGAACCAATATGCCAATGTTGCGTCATCTTCATTTTAGCTCTTGCTCTAAGTGAGTGAAGGTGTGACCGAGAGAGAAGAAGAGTCCAACGGTGTGGTCTGCAAAACATAGAGAGATGCTGAGATGAAGAGGACGAGTTGTGTAGATGAAAAGGACTTTCAAATTTTGCATACCTCTTCAATCCCGTTGCCGCTTGCCTGCAAGTTTGATCTCCACGAAAGGAAGTGGGAAGACAAACCAGAGAAGAGAAGGGAGAGGGAATTGGGGTGTAATAAGTTTGTAAAATATTCGTTCAATTCAGTCAAATCCAATGTCTGAAAACTAAGTTGCATATGGTATGCAACTTTCATGCCTTTCACACTATAACATTACAAAATTATAAAAACACGAGCAAAGTATTTTTTTGGTGTCGTTATGAATAAATTTTTTGAAAAAGGAAAACAATTTTTTAAATTTAAAATTTTATTAAGTTAGAACATCGTCAATCGTATAGTAATTATTTCATCAAATTCAAGCTCGATGAATAAAGAGCTAAAAATGAGTTCCAATCATTTCATTAAACCTGTAGAAATCAAATTAGGGAAGTGGCAAATTTTGCACCAAATCAATGATGAATCAAATTCTTCACCAAATTTCAGATAGTGATATTTTTATTCAAATTTGATGAAACTTTAAAAAGAATAAGGATTAGGGATGCCTTTCTTTCATACAAAATGGTTAAAACGAGTTTTAGGGTAAGTTTAGAATTTTTCAAAAATATTTTATCCTTAAAAAAAGGAGTATTGATTGGAGTATTCTTTAGGAGATCAAATTTGATGAAAAAAATGAGTACAAATACCTGTGTAGCTTTTGGAGAAGAAAGACTAAAAGAGTGGTTTTGGGATCATCCCATTCCAGAGATTTCTACCATTTTCCCTCTATAAATGTGCTGAAGAGCAGGTGGTGCAGATGCTTGCTCAACATCCATGTGCAAAGAAAGAGGCAATCTACTTAACATGGGACACCCCCATGAATGAATTTTCAAAGGTTCACAAACCATTATGCCTTTACATATGTTTTTCAATCGTGGTAGGTCTTCTACTTCTACTGTCCTAAAATTTCTAATTTTGATTGTGATTGTGTTGCCTCCACATTCTTACACCAAGGCACTTCCTCAAGGTTTGGAAGTTCTGCGACAACTTGGCGGGGAAAATATATTTGATTCTGGGACATGCAAGGAAGTCCAATTCCTTAAGGTTAAATGAAATGTTGTGCAGTAGAACAACTCTGTCAAAGAGTACCCTAAAATTGGGTAAATCAATAAACCGTAATTCCTCAACTGTTCTTAGCGGGATTTGGTAGTCTTCTAATAAGGATGATGATGAAAAGATGGATTCAAGCCCATCACAGTCTTCAATTATAAATCTTGTTAAATCTCTCACATCCCTCAACGATTGAATGTTTGATAATCTAATGTGATAGTCCCATCTCCTAATGTTCAAGTACTCTATGTTGTTGAGGCGCGTCATGTGCTTACACCAGTACTTCTGGATACAAACTTCTGTTGCTTCAGGATAGTATTTCTCTTGTTTGTCATCTTGGTCTTTTTTATCAACAATTAGCACCACAAGACTCTAGTTTTCCAAACTTTGGCATTGTAGAGATGTCACATAATTGGTAAGCTCTTGCACATTGTGAAACTGAGCTTCGAGAACTTTTAATTGTGTCAAACCCAACAGCTCTTTTGATGACAATTCTACTTTTGTTCTCTTAATTCTAAGGCATTGGAGTTGTGAGAGTCTGCATAACTTCTAGCAAGGAAATGTACGTAGGCTGTAATTCCAGGCGAGGTTGAGATTTCTGAGACTAGTCAATTCTTCTATACCTTAGCGTACTTCTTCAATTTGACTTTCAGTCAGTTTCAACTCTTTCAATGCCTTTAGTTTCTCCAGTGAAGGAACATAACTTAGTTGCCGACAATTCGCTAGTGACAGTGCATACAAATTCTCCAACTTGGAGATGGACTCTGGCAGAGATTGTATGGCGGTGAAGGACAAACCAATACCTTGAGATGCTGCATATGAGTGAAGAAAGAATTTGGAATCCATACTACTTCAAATCATTCATTGTCAGTACTAAGGTGGTGAGCTGAGGGCAAATGTGTGGTCTAGAAGGAAGTTCATCTATGCTGTTGTGAATTAAGGAAACCCTATCAAGATCTTCAGACCAGTAGTCTTCATATGGTACTCTTTCTAATCCCTCACCAGCTCATGCCATGAATTGAGGAGGAGCAGTTGATGTCATTAAGCCATATCCCTGATCAAATCATGCATCCTCACATATTTTCCCCTATCTTCATCGGTAAACTCACCAACCAGCTGTTTTTCGTAAGCTTATTCAAATCATTCATCCTCATGAATACTTCCTTGTGTATGTTGGCAATACTGTCCAACAAGCAGGTATTTATGAGTTCATTCAATATAGTGTGGCCTTTGTCGAACATTGCTTCCATACTGTCCATCTCAGTTATTAGGCCCTCAGCAATCCAATACTCTATGAGATGTTTCTTAGGGATGATATGATCTTTTGGATACAATGCACAATACAAGAAACAATGTTGGATCTTTTCATCTTTTAGGCGATTATAACTAAATTTTAGTTGCTCAGATACTCCACTCTCTTTGTCCATGATCTGCTTTGTCGAGCTGATCAGTTCATTGTGAGTGTCATTCACTCCTCTAATACTTCCAGCTAGAGTAATGATTGCAAGGGGCAGATAAGCACATTCTTTTGCAACTTTTGTTGCAATTTCTTTCACTTTTGGAGTAAGAACTGTCTGATGTCCTTCAACCCTACTCATAAATAGATTCAATGCTTCCTCTTCTGTGAGAAGCTCCACTTTGATAGCTATGCACTCCATCTTCTTACACACTTCAAATGATCGTGTAGTTAACACTAGTTTACATCCAATATCTTTGGTTAGTCCTGGAATACCCACTTTGTACAGAGGAAATGCTTCCCATAGATCATCAAAGATGAGCACACGTCTCTCCTTTTGGGAAAGCATGTTATGTAATTTTGATGCTCCTTATTTCATCCTCATAATTAATCAAGATTCAGTGCCTCGGCTATCTGCCTCTGTAGATTTCTATTGTTGAATGCGTTACAAGTTTCATTCAATAGTCGATTGTTGATGTGATGCATGATGGTAGTTTTTCTGACTCCTCCCATTCCGAAAATGCCAATCCTTCTAACTTCATCATCCATCAGGTATATTCCCAAACTTTCTCCATGTTCCTTGCACTTGTGTTTTTACCAAAAGATTCTGTTGTTGGCATGAACTGTCCACTAGTGGGATCATCAATTAGTAAACCATTAGAAAATCTACCCTGTTCTTGCATTTCTTCCACCTCTTGAATCGACTGCACAACAAGCTTTCCCAACTGTGCAAGTGACAAGACATTCTTCCATCCATCTATTTCTTGCACTTGTCTTTGCAAAGTTCGGACATCACCCTTTACCCTTCGAACATCTTGCCAAACTTCGACTTCTTTCTTTCGTCTTTTCCTTGACTGTTGGTCTGCATTAGTCACTTCTTTATTTATGTCCTAAAGAAAACTTCAATAACAATTCTGACAGTTGTTAGAAAGCAATTTGAATTTTGATTTACAAAAGCAAGAGAAACAAAATTATGCTAATATTAGCAAATTGACTTCACATTCACCTCAAACTAATAGAAAGTCAGTCTTGTATAACTGACAAAAGAGTGATTATTAAGAATAAACTAGCATTTATGTTGTTAAAGAATTTATATTCTGACGTATGTAAATTTCACGTAGGTGGATGATTTGAAACACAAACAAGAATAAGATCTATATCAGAGTTTGGAACCATTCGATGTCTAAACCCACAAACCTCCAAGAGCCAACTATTAATAACATATTTTATGTTGCTATTTGCTGCATTTACTAAAAGTGAATGCAAGCGGCTTCATTCAGACATCTCCAGGAAAAACTAGCAACTTTGCAGAATTTTTAATTTTTAATTTTTTTAAGAACCATTTTGCTGAAACTAATTCCCTAGCTAGTACATTGCACACTATTTTTAGAGATTTGAGTTTTCAGAGATAAAAATAAGTTTCTAGATACAGAACTGAACTTGCCTCAATTATTTGCCTAAAAACAATCACAGAGGCAACATACTCTGAGAACAGGAGTTGAAACAATTCAGTTTTTTTTTTTTTGACAAAAAGAAAAAACAAATACCTATGCACACATAGGGCTGCAAACGAACCGAGCCGAGCCGAGCTTTGCTATAGCGATCCCGGGTTTACCCTTGTTGTACCGTAATCCGGACATGTGTCCGTGGGTGTTGGTAGTTGTTTATTATCTTGTTTGCATCCGTTTGATTATCGATCTCGTTTACTGAGTTCGAGTTCAGTTTGATAAGATTTTTATTTTTTTATATTATTTAATACATACATAATGTGTTTATGCCATTATTTGTATATATTTATATATTATTTAATATATAAATAATATATTTATTATATAATTTAAATAAAGATAAACGAGCCGAGCTTAACGAGCCAAGCTTATGCGAGCTCGAGCCGAGCCGAGCCGAGCCCTTAACGAGCCGAGCTGAGCTTGTTCATAAACAGCTGGGTTCATTTACAGCCCTATGCACACATACATATATATGTAGAGGGAGAGAGACAGAGAGAGAATTGGCAACAAGTCCCACACCCACCACCTACAAAAGCATGTTCATGTCTTGAACTCTACTCCCTCTCCATTTTAGGAGAAAGAAGGCACAAGTGACAGTCTAACAAGAATAATATTTTACTCCTTAAGCTTACTGCTGAATTCTCTAGCTTGGTAATATATTTATGTTTTACTCCTTAGTTTTTCGAAAATTAAAGCAAGAGAAACTGCTTGCTATTGTATATATCAGCTCAACCATCGATTATTATGGACCAGGGTCCTTTGTCTACTCAACTAAAACTAATAGATAAATTCTAGAACATGGAATACTTTGTCCTTGAATCCTCTGTCCACTGTCCAATCAGGGCCGGCCCTGAGTTATTAGGGGCCTAATTTGTTTGGACAAAACAAAAAGGATAAAAATTTATTTCTATTGCATTACAATTTAACAAAATTTAGATAACATATATTTATATATATATATAAAATAGTTGAACTTCAATTAGTTGAATCTGATCTTTATTTTTTAGCTTACCAATGCTATAATAACTAAAATTAATTGGGGGATAAGGATGGAAATTTTCGGCACAACTCAAACAATATATAAAATTAGCAAGTTAGGGTTGACTATTTTTTCAACAGGAATCCAAATATGACGCGATTCAATAACATGAATTATTAGTTATATATTTTAATGTTCACTAAGGGATGCCATTATATTTTTTTTAATCTTTTATTTAACTCCATCTAATTGAATAAAAGAGTATGTAAAATAATAATTATGGCTAATATCTTTTTTTCATTTAAGATATGTATTTTTTTTGTTACTTGTCGTAGAGTCAATCTAGTAAAAAATATATAGTAACAAGGTATAATTTTTTTAATTAGAAAAATGTAATTGAATTAAAATCAAACATTCTATGAATAATTTCATTTAGTAGAAATAAATTTTATAAAATTCAACTTATGGGAAAAATTTTAATCTCTCCATACACTTGCTAAGTTATTTTTAACTAAAAGTGAAAGTTTTCACATTAAACATCAATCAGACACGAATCAAAATAACACCATACGACAACATGAAAATAAATGAATTGAGTTAATATTGAAGTAATTATGAAATAACATGACATAATACACTCCCCTAGTTGGAAGCCCTAAATTTTGTTCAAAATTGAGAGCCCGATGCGACCGCCTTAGTCACCTCACCCAGGGTAGGCCTTGTGTCCAATATACTTTTAATTATTAGATCATGCCTTATTCTCAAATCCAGTGGCTCGGTAGATTGGCACTCCTATAGGCTCATCTAGCAATACAAATTTTGGGGGTTCCAAGTCTTGGATCCACCAAAAACATTTCTTCCATTAAGCATGAAACTTCAAATTTTACGGCTTTCCACAACATAAGAAAAAACGTGAATTAGATAATGGAAATGATCTACTCAAATAGATGCTCATCATAAGATTCTTTTTTTAGAGCATCCTAGGCCACATCTTGGGGGTCTTGAGGGTAAGTTGCATAATTTCCATAGGTACATCATTTGAATTGTAAGATATTATGCACTTATTATGGCACTTGATTGGATGAAAAAACCTAATTTCACAGCAAATATTTTTAATATCATAACTAGACAGGGTATCCATACAAGTTTGGCTCACTTCCTTTCACGATCTTCTTCAAAAAAAACCAACGCCCAACCTCAATAGCAAAAATAAAAATTAAAAAAAGAAAAAAAAAAAGAAAGAGAGAAAGAAAGAAAGAAAAAGAAACCAAAAGAAAAAGCAAAAAGAAACAAAAAACAACAGGAATAATGAAGAACAACTGAATCTTAGGAATCCCAGAAACTCACCTTATGCTAATTTGGAGACTAATACCAATTAAGCTCTGGAAACCAAACAAAGAAGATGAAGAGGACTGGACTTTCCTTTTGCCATACCCAGCCTAGTTTGAGGTACAAAATCAACCAAAGTGAATATAATAAACTTGTAAATAAAATGGTGAATTTTTTATTTTTATTTGTTTTCTAAGAAAGATACTCCTCAAAATTTTGTGATCCAAGTGAAATATGTATATATATATATATATCTTTTGTTACTGATTTTTACATTAAATATATGTCAAATCAATTTACACATTAATCATCTCCACTTAGAAATTTTAGGATTAATTACCTAAAAGTCCTATCTACATATTTGGCGGTAGCTTGGGTCATATCAAAAAGTTTTTGAACCAGTAAGTCCCATGTACAGGTAAAAGACGTTTTGCCCTTTAATCCCAAAACTGAGAATGTTCTCAATTTCAAAACTGAGAATGCTCTCAATTTATAATTATCAAAATTAGGAAATTTCTCAATTTTTTTTTTTTCTAGTATGAACTAAGAATATTATCAAAACTATCAAAACTAAAAAATTTATAATTATCAATTTTGAGAAATTTTTCAATTTTTTTCATGATTAAAATTGAGAATATTATAAATTGAGAAGGTTCTCAATTTCAAAAAAACCCTAGATCGCTCTCTCTCTAATGGTAGTGGCATCTGTGAACTCAGTGAAAACTGAGAGTTTGCCGATCTATCTCTGCAAATTCCCTGAGTGAGCCTTCTCTAAAGAAGAAAGAAGTCAAGGTTCTTTCCTTGAAGGTTGTATGTAGTGCTATCATCAAATTGCGAGTTACTCTGTGCAAAGAGAAAGCAGAACCCAACCTATGGTTCTCATACAGTAGTTGGAGTGTGCAAGGAGTCGTCAACCCTCGCCAAGCCATAAAGCCTTGGAGTTAGAGGACTTTCGCATCAGTTCGAAACTGGTTTGATGCAAGTCGCGGATGAATTCAAGGGCAGAAATCGTGATCTCGAACTGAAATCCAGATTTGAAATCGAAGAGTGACCTGCGAAATTGATTGATCGAGCTTCAATCAATGACGAATCAAGACCCAGATTACCCTTGTGAGCTCGAATCACCCATGTCTGTCGAACTGAAGTTGTATAGAACTTCGAATTGCAACTGTGTAGAGAGAGAGGAAATGAAGACAGCAATGGATGTTTGGCAACTATGGAGGAGATTGGTCTATTAAAAATTAATGGAACTTGAAGGAGCAAATAATTTTATCTAGGACTTAATGGATTATAAGTTTACAAAATGAGACTTGTATGTAAATGCCCTAAAATTTTCACACCATATAAATTTTCAATGCACATTATAAATGGTGTTTAAATATAAACTTTTGAACAAAAGTGAAATGCTTGGATTTAGAGTTATAAATAAAAACAAATTGTTTAAATATATATTCTATTCAATTGTTTATATCTAAACAACTTTTTTTTCTGCATAAATTTATATTTGAATATTTAATTTTTGTTTTTAAATTT